GCCTCTGGGCATGCATCCGCGCGTCCGGGCGTGCCGTGCATCCGTGCCGTCCGGGCGTGCGTGCATCCGTCAGTCCGGGCGTGCGGTTGCATCCGTCCGTCCGGGCGTGCGTTGCATTCCGGGCGTGCGTGCGTGCATCCGTCCGTCCGGGCGTGCGTGCGTGCATCCGTCCGTCCGGGCGTGCGTCCCTCCGGAGGTCCATGCGTGCATTCCTCCGGGCGTGCGTGCGTCCCTCTGGGCGTGCGTGCGTCCGTCCGTCCGGGCGTCGGCGTGTCCGGGCGTCCGCTCATGCAACCGTCCACCCGTTCGTGGGTATGTTCGGGGTGCGTTTGTCCGTCAGTCCATCTGTCCGTGACGCATCCTCCCGTCCATTGCTTCGTGCGTCTGTGTGTCTGTCCGTGGGATCGTTCGTTCGTTGTTCGTTCGTGCATCCGTCGTCAGTCTGTCTGTCCGTCCTTACTGTTCGTGGGTCCGTCCAAATCGTGGACACACAATAATGTAATATTATATGAAATACAAACAATAATTTTTAAATTTTATGGTAGTAAAATAGCGCAAATTGTACCGAGTCCAGTAATCGCACAACACTTTTATTGACAACTTTCTTTCTAGAGAAAGACCTCAATGAATAACATTTCGTTCATGATTATTACCGCCCGAAAAACTGCGAAACGTTCTGAGAGTTGGTTTGGTCAGCACGGGCTGACGGCTAGTGCTGAATTACTCACAAACGCCTGAATCGCATGCATATCACGACACATTCCATTGCCAGAATTTGTTTAACAGCTTCTAATACATTTTTACTCTTTTTTTCTTAACCCACAAAAATGGTTTTCCGATCTTGCATTTGAATGCGAGCGAGTAAAATTCTTCAGAAGATGTGATTGCAATAAATCATTGACATAAATTGGGAGTGGCAGTATGAATAATAAATATACAGCGTAATCAATGCCCGATGAACCCAAAACATATGCAAAAAGGATTAAAATTAATTTATCTTCACTCTCCAGAATACGCAACTCTGTATAACACAGTGAAGAAATTTGAAACAACTTTATTCCATTTATATTGCACATTTTTACAACAATTTAATTATGTTTGCGCCGTTTGCAATGCTGTAATATATACACGTAATATAAAATACATGTAATATCTATAGTACACGTTTCTTGCGAAATCTCACAAAGGATTTACTTATGCACTGGGCATTTTAGATTAAGTCATGCTACAGACTATACCAAGGATTGCATTGCGAGAAATGTGCAACGTAAAATATGGAAAATATAGAACAAGGGAGCGTTATTAACCCCCACGCACTTGAAAGTGCTTTCTCTTTGGCTTCAGCGGAGACAAAAGAGTTCCTTGCTCGAGTCGATCAGCGAGCGAGTTTTCTCGGGCACATTTCTACGCCTTCATTTGTTAGATGACTCACTGCCGCAGGGAAACACTAAAGAGTGCGTGAGGTTATAATATTTAGCAGTAAAAGATATCATAAACAGACAGGTTTTTGAAATTTCTCTGAATTTTTTTCTTTAAACGAAAATGAATTAGAAAAGACTTGTGTTGAAAATATTCATACTTGTATGAAAATAGTACATAATGAGCAAATAAAAAAATTATAATTTGATGCAAGAAACGTGGAGTATTATGTAAGAATTGAATTCATTTTTTATTTTTCTTTATTTGTATTGATTATTTATTAATTGTAAATTTTCTTACGAATTATTTGATCATTTACAGTAGAACCTCGCTAATCCGAATCCCACAAATCTCATATTTCAGATAATCCGAACAAAATTCGTGATGGAGGAAAAATAAACAAAATAAATAAAATTCTTTTTTGTCGTGTAAAAAAAGGATTTTGTAATTACTGTAAAGCTGATTAGCTAATTACTGAAACACAAGTTGTCGAAATGAAACGTTCATTGCACTGG